TATATAAAAGTTAATGTATGCACATATGTCCCGTATGCGCGCATACACCGGTACATTTTTTTAAATTATTACACACATTTTACAATATTCCCTTTTGGGACCAAGACCATAAATTCTTTTTTTTTTTTTTCCGTCATACTGTCATGAGCTAAATGTATTTCCCGAAATAAAATGAGTAAAACAGAGTAGGGTTAAACCTGAAAAAATAAACGCAACAAAACAGTGAACGTGTCGGCAGAAAGCCTTCGTCAGCGAACAAAACAACAGAAAAAACGGTATAAAAATAAGAAATAGCACTTAGCTGGTAAGTAGTATCTGTGGGCAGCAATAGAAGTGTAATTCCCGTATGTTTTCCTATGCCAGGTATCTGATTGCGATAAAATTTTGGTAAATTGTTGTGTGCTAGTCCGCAAAGTTATTTTTTTTCTTATAGGAGCTATACACCTATAATTTCAAACAGAGCTATTGCATGGGTGGATGGAATTGAATAAAATACATGGTGCCTATTGGTGCAACACTAGACGGAAAAAAAAACAAAAATATTTTCTATTTAAAATTTACTTTAAAAAACTAATTAAAACACAAACACTTCTTTTCTTTGAGTGGCGTTGCCATGCATTCCGGCTTCTCGCTAGTTTGACATAAAATTATATAATTAGAGGAAAATAAGCGGATTATTTTTTGAATTTGTTATTTTTAAAGTACAACCATTCTGGCTCCCGTATCGTCAAGCATTTTGCGTGCCCCAAGTGGCACACGAACTTGTGCTGTGTCTTGCCAAGCATTTAAAAAAAAAAAAAAAAAATAAAAATATTTTATTGGGTTACATTTTATTAATATAAAGTTTAATCTTGCTATCAAGGCCCTGTTCAATTAATTGTAAAACTTACCAAAACCTACCCCCCCCCCCAAAAAAAAAACAACAAAACACGTTTGATCTTCTTGCGATTCGTTGTTACAACATGACTCCTGTGTAGTTTCACGACACACACCAATGAGTTTGCGACACACCGTTTAAAAAAAAAAAAATAAAAATATTTTATTGGGTTACTTTTTAGTAAAATAAATTTTAACCTTGCTATCAAGGCCCTGTTCAAATAAATGTAAAACTTACCAAAACCTCCCCCCCCCCCCAAAAAAAAAACAACAAAACACGTTTGATCTTCTTGCGATTCGTTGTTACAACATGACTCCTGTGTAGTTTCACGACACACACCAATGAGTTTGCGACACACCGTTTAACATGGCTTTCCGACACAAATGAATTTCACCGAAAATATATCGTTAATATAACTCTATTGATACGATTTTAAACAATTTATTGCCAGTCGTTTACTCTGTTTATGAATACTTGACGTAACTAAAGAGATTTCATTGAATAAATGAGTGTTTATCTACTTAAGGTTTGTTTGTTTGTTTTTTTGTTTTTTTTTTTAAAACCTGAATGTTTCTATACTTAATACTTAGAATGTAACCATTGACTTGTCTTAATCTTACTTACCATTGGCTTGTCTTAATCTTACTAACCATTAGCTTGTCTTAATCTTACTAACCATTGGCTTGTCTTAATCATAATAACATGGGCTTGTCTTAATCGTACTAACCATTGGCTTGTCGTAGTCTTACTAACCATTGGCTTGTCGTAGTCTTACTAACCATTGGCTTGTCGTAGTCTTAACACCAGTTAAATATCTGACGACTATTTCTTAGACTGAGAAACATTTAAGGTTGCGAAACGCACACGATAATTGAATGAATCATTCATATGTATAAAAAAAATTAAAAAACTACACTGAGACTCCAGAATGTACACATGTACAGAACTAGATTACAGTTTGTCACGTGTGTCTGCACTTGACAAAAATTGAAATAAGACGATTGCTTGCGTACATGGTAAAAATAATTAGAGTTAGACCGTGCTGTGTTATTTGTACATATAGTATGCGTTGCAACACTAGCGCGTACACAAGTACACAGATATGTAAGTGAGACACTGGGATGTGTACGTGTAAAAATATATGTAAGTGAGACACTGGGGTGTGTACATGTACAAATATATGTAAGTGAGACACTGGGATTTGTACATGTACAAATATATGTAAGTGAGACACTGGGATGTGTACATGTACAAATATAAGTAATTGAGACACTGGGATGTGTTCATGTGCAAATATATGTAAGTGAGACACTGGGATGTGTACATGTACAAATATATGTCACTGACACAATGTCGTGTGGACATGTACACATCTTGATCACCGTTAAACCGCCCGGCTCGTGCGTACTTGGCAGAGGTATCTTGTGTTTCACCTGCAAACCCCACCATCGCACACCGACCTGTCTCTGAGACCCCCTCCACCCTCCCCCTCCCACAACACCTTTCACTCAATCCCAAGAAAAGGTAAGAAACAGAGTGCTAGGAAGGTGCTGTGGACGTGCTCCAGTGTGGGATGCTCTGAGCTGTGGTGGTTGCGTGTTTGTTGTTGGTGGTGCTGTTCTGTGTCGCAGGCGCTGTCCGGTGGATTTGGTGATACTCTGGATTCGTTCGAACTGAGGTTGGTGGATCTAGCTGAGGTTGGTGGATCTAGCTGAGGTTGGTGGATCTAAGTGAGGTTGGTGGATTGAACTGAGGTTGGTGGATCTAACTGAGGTTGGTGGATCCATCTTCTACGTGGTAGTTCTGGACGTCTAAGATAATAATTAAAATCGTGTGAACAAATATTTAATGTTCCAGTTAGTCAAGTATATAGTTAATATATTTTTAAAAAATATATATATAAATATACTATGCAGATAAATAATAATATTTAGGAATTTGTCGGGTTCCGAAGTTTTAAAAACAACACCCTCACCGAGGATCGAAACAAATTTCAAACAACTATGTGAGAGTGTAATGTTTAGACATTAAATAATAAAAAAAATTCTGGGTAATTCTTAAAAGCATATTATATGGTTTAAAATTTCAGCCTGGGAACCTTGCTTTAAGTTGCACTCGACAGTGTGCATACAATTAAAACAAAGTATAATGTCACTGACACGATTAAAACAAAGTATAATGTCACTGACACGATTAAAACAAAGTATAATGTCACTGACACGATTAAAACAAAGTATAATGTCACTGACACCATTCAAACTAAGTATAATGTCACTGACACTATTTAAACAAAGTATGATGTCACCGACAACATTAAAGGAATGTATATTTTATACAAATACAATCGCTCGAGCCGAATCTGTATGGCAGACGAACGTTTAAAATAAACTTAAACAAAATGTTTCTCATCGAATGCCTACCGCACTTTGGCAATCATGCTTAGGCTGCGAGTTTGAGATTCCACGCCATGAATTGTATTATGGATGAAATATTTGACATCATGGAAAAGGTCAGTGGTCATCAGAAGTTTTCTATTTTATGATGTCATTGATCATATTGTCAAAATTTAACCCCCCCCCCCCCCAAAAAAAAAAAAAAAACTTAACGCGTGAATTTTTTCCGAATGTCTCAGTTTGTCCGTATTCCTCACTGTATTTCAGTTTGTCCGTATTCCTCACTGTATTTCAGTTTGTCCGTATTCCTCACTGTATTTCAGTTTGTCTCACTGTATATCTGTATGTCTCACTGCAGGTCCTTATGTCTCGCTGTATCTCCGTATGTCTCACTAAATGTCTCACTTGATGTCCGTATTCCTAACTGTTGTCCGTAGTTCTCACTGTTTGTCCGTAGTCCTCAATGTATGTCCGTATGTCTCACTGTATGTCTCACTGCATGTCTCACTGTATGTCTCACTGTATGTCTCACTGTATGTCTCACTGCATGTCTCACTGTATGTCTCACTGTATGTCTCACTGCATGTCTCACTGTATGTCTCACTGTATGTCTCACTGCATGTCTCACTGTATGTCTCACTGCATGTCTCACTGTATGTCTCACTGCATGTCTCACTGTATTTCTCACTGTATGTCTCCCTGTATGCCCGTATGCATCAGTTGTGTACTAAACCTCAAAACTTCATTGCCTACAAGATGAAAGAATCATTCCGTTGCTTTTTTTCATCAAACGGCGCGTAACAAAATGGTACAGCATTAAACGTTGAGACCTCATCCAGAATCTTTTATTTCATATTTGTTGGGTTAGTTGAGTTGGGCGCAGAATTTTAACAGCCGACAGGAATATTTGGGAGACTGCCCAGTTCACCTTTAAAAGAAGCACAAAAAACATTTGTACGCGGATATGAGGAGGGACGAAGTGGAACATGGAAAAATGTGTGTGTGTGGGTGTGGGGGTGGGGGTGGGGGGGGAATAAAATCTAAAAAAAACAGACAGGTGTAATGTAAGACAGGAAGTCGGGTTCATTTCATGACGGTTGGTATGTTAGGGATCCTACGGCGTTTGTTCATTGGTTGTGATGGTCGATATGTGCAGAAAAAATATAAGGTGATGGTCGATTGCAGTGGGATGATTGTTATGTACAGGGGTTTCTGTTGCGATAGTTGATTGGGACGGGATGAAAGTTGTGTACATGGGTGCTAAACAGGGACGTCCTTGGGAGTATTGGGAGGGGGTGGGGCTGGGAAAAAAAACTCACCGAGTCCCTTACCTCTTTTCTAGCCATTTAAATTAATGTTATGAAAAGTATTTTGGACCCCTGTTGGCTCAAGCTTTATGACTAGAGTTTCTTCCTGACAATTTATTCGGAATAAAGAAGGAGGGGGTGGGGGGCGTAGCGATGGTTGCTTTTTTGTTCGGGGATGGGGGCAGGACATGTATTATGTCACCCATCAAAAGCTTTGTTTTCATCGCCCCTCCCCCATACGTTGAAAGTAATTTATTCCGGTTACGACGCCCCATGGAGGGTACGCTTTTGATGAAAAAAGATTGATAAAAAGGTGTCTTTACTTATACTTTGTTTGTGGAATGAAGCGTGAATTGGGGTCTTGGGAGAGACATCCGTGTGCCCCTTCCCAGCTAATTTTTGCTAAATTCAAAATGCACTGATGCATTTCGGCGCATACCGGGATTTAGTTTTGCATAATTCTACTCTAAATCTATGAGCAACAGAAGAAATTATGCTGGAAATATAATTGTCAGCTGCCAAGCTTGCCCATGCCTCCAGGCCCAATGGTGATAGTTGATTGGCTCTGATGTCTGCTATTTGAAGAAGGAAGGGGGGGTTCTTTTGCTATAGCTGATAGGTTGCAATGTGTGGATGTTTTATTGTACTCATTTAAAAAGAGTAGCATTGTTGTCTCCTTATGATATTTTACATCTAGAATTATGTATGCCTGCTTATGTCTGGAGATCAAAAGATATCGACCTAGATATTAGATACGAATCTATATGTTTATAAAGAATAATTGGATAGCTTCTCAAAATTTCTCATTTGTACCAGATCAGATATTTACCAGTCTCTAGGCATTGTATTTTTACTTCTCTCCATTCTTTTAGCCCTCCAGTAATTAAATTTTTAACTATTGAATTTAAAAAAAATAAAAAATTAAAAACTTTTCAAGGCTATCACGGAATACTAAATTGATTACGCCAAAGTTTAACTTCAATTATCTCACTTGAATGATAGCCTTGAGCTTCTCATGCTGTATTTTACCAACAATTCACATTTAAACTTCGGCATCTAATACAATTGTTATTTAGAATTGTGTGAAGATGGGTTACATTGTGTGAAGATGGGTTACATTGTGTGAAGATGGGTTACATTGTGTGAAGATGGGTTACATTGTGTGAAGATGGGTTACATTGTGTGAAGAAGATGTGTTACATTGTGTGAAGATGGGTTACATTGTGTGAAGATGGGTTACATTGTGTGAAGATGGGTTACATTGTGTGAAGATGGGTTACATTGTGTGAAGATGGGTTACATTGTGTGAAGATGGGTTACATTGTGTGAAGATGGGTTACATTGTGTGAAGATGGGTTACATTGTGTGAAGATGGGTTACATTGTGTGAAGATGGGTTACATTGTGTGAAGATGGGTTACATTGTGTGAAGATGGGTTAGATTGTGTGAAGATGGGTTACATTGTTTGAAGATGGGTTAGATTGTGTGAAGATGGGTTACATTGTGTGAAGATGGGTTACATTATGTGAAGATCGGTTACATTGTGTGAAGATGGGTTAGATTGTGTGAAGATGGGTTACATTGTGTGAAGATAGGTTACATTGTGTGAAGATGGGTTACATTGTCGCATCGAATGTCCCTCTCTTGACGCATCGGTAACATGGTCGTACAATTACTGATCACAATTATATTGGCCGTTCAATGACTGGTCAAACTTTGACTTGGGTACAATTACTGATCACAATTATATTGGCCGTTCAATGACTGGTCAAACATTGACTTGGGTACAATTACTGGTCACAATTATATTGGCCGTTCAATGACTGGTCAAACATTGAATTGGGTACAATTACTGGTCACACATTTACTTGGGTACAATTACTGGTCACACATTGAATTAGGTACAATTACTGGTCACACATTTACTTGGGTACAATTACTGATCACACATTGACTTGGGTACAATTACTGGTCACACATTTACTCGGGTACAATTACTGGTCACACATTGACTTGGGTACAATTACTGGTCAAACATTGACTTGGCTACAGTTTCTGGTCACAATTATATTGGCCGTGCAATTACTAATCGCATTCATCTTTGCCGTACAATTAGAATTCACAATTCGCGACTGCTGCCAACAATGTTCAAAGACATTTATCGAAAGATTACAGTCTCGCTTTTGGCCAATTTTGCAGCCATTCAGTCCATTACCAGGTGTCCCATTTATACTTGATATGTTTATTTATCAAGATATATTTATCATGGCAAGTTTTCCCAGTCTGTCGAGGAGTTTTATTTCTGGCAACGTGCAATGTTTTTATTAAAAGAGAAAAAAAAAATTTGGACAGGAAAAGCCAGGAAAAAACAACAACTTGTTATTAAGTGTGAGTGTGTGAGGGGGGAGGGGAGAGAGGTTTGGGGGGGGGGGGTTACCATTATGCTTTATATTTTATTGAATGAATAAAGATATTTTAATTTTAATTTGGACTTATCCCTTATGGATTTTAAAATGTATACATTATCTTATGTATATAAAAATGTTTACTTTATCTTTGGGAATGTTAATGTTTAAAAAATCCTTTTAAAAAATGTTTAATAATTGTCATTAGAATATGTTACACGCAAATCTCATGTTACGTTCTAAACATCTCCATATATCACACCCACATAATCCCTCAGCATCTCCATTATGGTACACTAAAATGTCGTATTACGTTCTAGGCATCTCACATATGTTACACTCAGATGTCATGTTAGTTCTTATCATCTCACATATGTTACACGCAAATGTCATGTTAGTTCTTAGCATCTCACATATGTTATACGCATATGTCATGTTGCGTTCTAATCATCCCCCATATGTTACGTGCGAATTTCCTGTTAGGTTCAAACCATCTACAATATGTTATATGAGAATGTCGTGTTAGTCTCTAAGCAGCTACGATATGTTACAGTCAAGTGTACTGTCTCTCAGCAGGTCCAGTCTACCTACCACCCAAACATCGCATAAAACTCCCTTGGAAGGAGGAAGGAGAGCATAGATTTTTATTCCTATAACAAATCATTTAAACTTGGTTTTCAAATAATAACTTCTTTCTCTCACGATAGTGCGCGTACTTTGAAACATAACGGTTCACCGTGGGATGTAAGAAAAGGCATAACACTCATCTGCTGATGTTATGTATATTTCATAGACTCTGTAAATTGAGGCCAACAAGTCCTGCCTTCAAAATTAACAACCAATAAGAACACCGCTCTCCTTTTAAGTTTCATAATCATTTCAAACTGATATTGCAAGTCTGTGGCATAAATCTCCCCGATATGTTAACAGCTGTTATGTTACCCATGTTGTTTTATTTCATTTCCATGGTTCTTATGTGATTTAGGCAACACTTTAACAGCAGGTACCGTGTTAAGTTTACAGCCTTCATTGTCAACTTTATGGCCACTAAACACTAAAAAAACAGATATATTGTCCATTTTGTTATTTTGTCAAGGACTAACGGGTGAAATGATTAGTTTTAGGCGGGGATCCTCAAACCTTTTAATGAAGTGGCCGGCTCACTGTCAGTCAATCACTGCTAAGGGGCCAAACATTATTATTTTTAAAAAAAGAAATGTAAACCACTTCCATTGCATTACATGTCATAACAAAACGATGCAATATTTAACAAGAAAATTTAAATCAAAAGAAAAATTGTTAAAATTTAAATTTGAAGTATGAGCATGGAATTTGGCTAATGAGACGGTCCATTTCCGGTGTCATATTTGTCTGAGCCACACGGGTACCCGTACGGCGGCCAGGTTGGCTGGGTTAAAATTCCTGGCGGGCCGGATGCGGCCCGAGAGACATAGTTTAGAGGGGCCCTGGGCTAGAGCATTCAAAATCTAGTTATCTTAAATTTAACTGTGCTCGTAATGTATGTAAAAGTGGATTTTTTTACATTGGGACAATAATACTTAAAACTTGTTAATATACTTTTTAATGACATCATTTACATTATTTGTACAATGTGAAAATAGGGAATAAGATAGGGAATGTCACTTGAGTAAAAAATGGGGAATTTCGGTTCAGTGCAAAAACTGTATCCATTTATAGACGGAGCACTTACGCTGATCAAATCAATGAATCTCAAAGTAAGGCGAACGTCTTAAAAAAACTGCCTTAACACATTCCCCCGCACCTCTACAAATATTCAAAATATTTAAAAACCTCTGTTTATAAAGATCATACATTCCATATTTCAATCGGGGTGTGTTTGTGTTAAAGTTAATGGTTGCTGCGGAGGTAAGATCATATACATTTATATACCTATCTAGTAAGCACTAGACCAGCAAAGAGGAGTAACTAGATTCATGTAATAGCATATGAAGTAGGTGAGTCGACAAGAACTGTATAATAGTCTAACACCCACGCAATTCTCCCAAACACGAAACACTGATAACCTGCCCTTATACATCGCATTAGAGCATTACACTTATACCATTGGAAAGCGTCACGACCAACCATCCCTCTCTTACCGTATTTCCTCGACACACTACATTTAAACCTTTGTCACAACCAACCATCCCTCTCTTACCGTATTTCCTCGACACACTACATTTAAACCTTTGTCACAACCAACCATCGCTCTCTTAGCGTATTTCATCGACACACTACATTTAAACCTTTGTCACAACCAACCATCCCTCTCTTAGCGTATTTCATCGACACACTACATTTAAACCTTTGTCACAACCAACCATCCCTCTCTTAGCGTATTTCATCGACACACTACATTTAAACCTTTGTCACAACCAACCATCGCTCTCTTACCGTATTTCATCGACACACTACATTTAAACCTTTGTCACAACCAACCATCACTCTCTAAGCGTATTTCATCGACACATTACATTTAAACCTTTGTCACAACCAACCATCGCTCTCTTAGCGTATTTCATCGACACACTACATTTAAACCTTTGTCACAACCAACCATCCCTCTCTTAGCGTATTTCATCGACACATTACATTTAAACCTTTGTTACAACCAACCATCGCTCTCTTAGCGTATTTCATCGACACATTACATTTAAACCTTTGTCACCACCAACGTATCTGTATTTTTGTTCAATTTGTTACAGACATGTGTTTGTGACCAACAGTTCTGTTTATTGAAGGAGAACAATTACAGTAGCTTTTTCTCTGTCTCACTCTCTGTCAATCTCTTCTCCAACTCCCTGTATCACTCTCAATTAAATACATCTTTTCTTAATCATTTTATCTCCCCTCTCTCTTTTTCTCTCTCAGTTCAACCTCCTTTCTCTTTATCATTTTTTTTCCTCCCCTCTCTCGTTCTCTTTCTCTCACGCTCCATCTTGTTCATCTGTATCATTACACAAATCTCTTGTCAACAATAACGTGTTGGTGTTCTCGTTAACATTATCATGATTTTACCATCAGCTCTTTAACTTATACATTTTTTTTTTTTTATAATTTCAAATAAGTTTATAATTTGTAAATCCTGTCAATACATTCTTTTACATGGGTTTTACATCTTCAAGGCAACAGTTCTATTGTTAACAATTTGAATTCTCTACATGATACACATCTTTTAAACATACTTTCTTCATAGCTCCATTTTGTCTTCAAACATACACGTCGACACAGTCTTAAATCCCTTTGCAACAAATTTAAAAAGGCCATTGATAAGTGTGTGTATTATTGCCTAACATATTGCATATCTATGTGTCTTTTCTTCCCAGTGAAATAAGAACAAGATGAAAAGAAGAGGATACCTGCCACCATCAACACAGACCTGAGGCACGGCCGCCAGCAACTCGCGGCTGACTGCTGGCTAGCTGATAGCTGCTACACACACGGCAGCACCACCCCTTCTCCCCCACCCGTCCCGCTCTTCGGCTCAGTTCTACCTTCCCGTCGTCAGTGCTCAACTATGATATTTTCCCCTCTTCATCTTCTGACAAATCACCAGGCAATCTGTTTTACATAACACAGGTATTTGTTGCAGGTTACCAATGGCAAATCGTCAATGGTATTCACACTCAAAGTGCCATAGCTAAATGCTTTAAATTTGTAAACAGTCATTATCCGCAAAGGGGGCAAACAACGACTCTCGAAACGATAAAAGATAATGTAATGGGTAGATCATTCTAATCATAGTTACGTCCCTCTTACACCAGCCATCACCACTATTCCAGACTTCCCATGTGGCTTGCCTCAAGATTTAAGCAATTATTTCTACCGCCAATACAGTAAATAAAAAACTATGTTCAACGTTTGGTAAATGTCTTGCGAAAAAAACAACACCATAAGGATAATTCCGTTACCTTTTCAAATATATCTTTCACAAGACATTCACATAATTATCTTTAACCAACACTTTAAATTCTAAAATCACATATATTTTGTTGCGCTTCCTCAAAGAGATGGTTGCTTTTCGCACTCACCCTCTTCTTGGTGGGGGCTGCTTAGCTCACCTGACACGCGCGCGCCTGTGTTCTTCCAGGCAAGATTCTGGCACTGAGCTCATCTGTTTTGTGTGCATGAAGGGCATAGCACGTGAAAGAACATTCCTTGTTACGAGTTATTTTTTTTTTCAAAAAAAAGAACGAAATTTTGCCCTAGTTACAGAGGAAGTGTTTTGATGTTTGAAGTTAATTTCCACCACATCATCGATCACGTGCTTGTATTGTGGTGACTTGTGATTGCCTGAATGGCAGATGATTAGTTCGTTATACCGTACCGTCCTTCAGAAAACTCGATATGCTTAAGTTTTGTTTTGGAATATTTTAACACACAACTAGTGATTTCTTGGAGATTTCGTTTCAAGGGCTGATACAATCTTTGTAGGTGTTTTAAGAAATGTTTGCATGCAGTTATTATAAGCAGTAAATATGCCCTGAATGCAGTTATAAGCAGTAAATATGCCATGAATGCAGTTATAAGCAGTAAATATGCCCTGAATGCAGTTATAAGCAGTAAATATGTTCTGATTGCAGTTGTTTTAAGTAGTAAATATGTTCTGAATGAAGTTGTTATAAGCAGTAAAGATGTTCTTATTATAGTTGTTATTAGCAGTAAATACGTACTGAATGCAGTTGTCTATGCAGTAAAGGTTTTCTTAAGCAGATTGACATGCAGTTGTCATTACTAAGCAAACAGCTTTAAAATGTTGTCCCATTACGTCTTTGATGCCTATTTACCAGGTGATAGTTTTTCTGGCTTATGTGAAGCATGCCTACTTCATTTTTATTAGATCACATCCAAAAAAAGCCAGTCGGTAAAGGAGATAACTAAATTCTGTTATGGCTTTTTTTGTTTTGTTCGGGCGATGTGGATTATGGCTTTATGTTTAATTTTTTAAAAGAATATAACTACATTTTAATGGGAATTCCTTTATTACCAAAGATTGTTTATATTCAATTTTGCATTCTGTAATGAGCTTGTTCCCCGGGCTGTGTTCATACATGTAAGAATAGTGTAAATCTACTCAACAAATCAATTTTTTAAAAAACATGGCGGTTCTTAATCGTCCATTTCATCACGATCGCTGTCTAGATCAGTGGAGTTGTAATCTATTTAGTTGCAATGACCCCAAGTTTTGAACTTCACACTTTTATGAACATTTTCATAAAGTCAACAGCATATGTCAACAAACAATTTCGGAGCTCAAACAATTGAGAACCACTAATGACGCGTCTGGAATATTTCATTTAGTGTAATTTCTGCGTGCCATGCATTCCTAATAGTAAAAGACGATGTTACTTAAAGCGGCGAACCATTGGAAGTGTGCCACCACTAAACACCCCCGAGCTGTCTTTAATGGATGATAAGAATAGCATTAAGAGCATACATCTGAATAGGGGAGTTAAAAATTAATCCCGTATCAAGTTATGATTTTAAGAGTCAAGTGCTACCTGGCAACGCCACAGGGTGCATTCATGGTAGCAATATGTTTCACGTTCGTCCATTGGCGTGGGAAGGGGGTGAAGAGACAGAGCCCCCCCCCCACCCAAGTGCCACTAACACTAGCTGCGCCACGGCATCTGTCATTGGCTTTTACGGGCACTTTTATCTCTCCTGTGGTTTTCACAATTTTTGATGAATTTCGAAAAAAAAATGAAGTTTTGTATTTGACAAAAATATGTAAAGAATTTTTTTTTTATGTCATTGGTCATTACTAAAACTAAAATTCACTCTTTGAAACTTTAATGAAGTCCAAATCATCAGTGGCGTAGGAATCGGCTTGCGAAGGGCTGGGAGCAGTCAGCCTCCATATTGTACTCTTTTCTTTATATTTAGGGGGTTGAGTATACAACCAAAAGTGTGGGTTTTTTTCTGAGTGGGGGAAGGGGGTTGTAAGACAAAAAGCTTGGACCACCCCGGATGGCACCAGCCCCAGCTACGCCATTGCCCAGCAATGTTATTTATTAAAACGCTCGGCTGTCATCAAACTATAGGTCAATTTAACTCAGAAGTCAAGATTTAGGGAAGTATTACACAGAAATGCTCAAATGAACATTACTAGGCTTTTCCACTTATCACCGAGGGCTCGAACAATTAGAACATGTATCTAGAATTTTCCAGATTCACGACTCTTATACAATGTGTCGCAAAGCACTCCGTATGTTTGATAGTTCAGACAAAAGGGGGCATAATTATTGTAATCAATGTTTATGTCAAAAAGTAAATTCGTTTTGTTTTCGTGGATGCTTTCCCTTACAATACTCATTGGAATAAGAAACCTAGAAGTCGTATGAAGATGTTGATGTACTGGTTAAGAAGGCGTAGTGTTAGAAATGTGGAATTTATTTAATGTTTCTATGAGAAGGGGTTGTGAAATACAAATGCAAATGACCAATAACTAAATTTAACTTTACGTACGTCATATCTATAGATAACCCGATGGACTTAAACACAAATTCCGACATGGAGCGAACAGCTAAGCACTTGAGCTCGTCTTAGAGGTGTCGGTCAGAGTGCAGCTGTCACCACCATGACGGCCATGGCAGAGGATGTGGACGACCGGTTCGCAGGCATTGACATCGACAGTCTCCTGAATCGGACCGAGAGGAGACCGTTCACGTACGGCCGGAAGAAGTGTCTTTATGAAGGTAGGTGTGACGACACACTGAAGTGTCATTATGAAGGTAGGTGTGACGACACACTGAAGTGTCTTTATGAAGGTAGGTGTGACGACACACTGAAGTGTCTTAATGAGGGTAGGTGTGACGACACACTACAGTGTTTAAGTCGAGCGTCCTGGTGTCCAGACGACAGAAAAAAAGTAAATCAGCAACAGACGTGTCACAAAATAAAATAAAAATATGGGTATTTCATTTTCAATAAACTGATTCATGAAATAGAATATAATTTTTAAGTAAGCTTTCAAAATAATGTTGCGTCCTTTTAAGCTCCCATTTTAACCCCCCCCCCCCCCAATCCGGTTCAACCTCATTTGATTATTTCGGTCTTTTACCCGAAGCAAACTTGAATATAATTTTATTGACAATGTAAATGTTATTAAATTGGCTTCATACAAAAGTGGGAACTCAAGAAACGAAGAAAAAAAGTTCATTAAAATAATGCAACGATTTAGCTGCACAAAAAAAAAGAAAAAAAATTAAATAAAAAATATATTAAAAAAAGTTGTCAGAAGATTGTAGATTGAGATGAGACAATGATGTGGCTCCAGAAGATTGTAGATTGAGATGAGACAATGATGTGGCTCCAGAAGAGTAACTGCGCTTGTTGATTTTAAAAAAAATGCCAGTGTTCTTAATATTTCACCCAAGATCTGCATGGGTTTTTACTTTACTGCTCCTGCACAGGACTTTTGATTAAATTATATTCATCTTTTATTATATACATAACAACAGAACAAGACGCTAGCAATTGAAATGCCATTTTAAGTTTTTGACTTGCAACATTTTTGTGTATTCTTAAAAAAAAACAAAAAATATTTTTTTTTAAATAATCTAAATACCAAAGTAAAAGTAACATTTCATGACTAAATTCATCTTTTTGTAAGTTTTAAAAATAAAATTGAAGATACAATTGAAGGAAAGCATTTGTGACATAAAAGATAGTGAAAAAGAAAAAAACAAAGAAATAATTGAAGTGTCGCGTCATATTCCCTGGTTTGCAACGCAACCCTCAAGTCGAGGCATAAGTCCTCCATCTGTTGCATAATGAACACAGTCCGGTAAACACCACATGCCAGTGTAAACAATCCTAACCACAGACACAGTGCATGGGTGCACGGGACCGTTCCCTAAATCTCTATATTTCATTATTGATCCGATCCACTTTTCCCTTTATTTTCCCCAAACAAAAAACAGTTAACCATCTTCTCCCTATATCGTCATATCAAAGTGAACTCTACCATTGCTAAGTCAGTACGGAACAGGTAACGTGTAAATGCCCTAAGGATGCCCATGATGTTATCCTTCGTCTCTCAGCCCTCCCACGCCAGTAGAATTCCCGGCTCAACGGGTGGGGGCCCTACTAGAGAGAAGTGAACTCATTCTAGGGGCCGTGAAACAATTTCCACATACCTCCCAAAAAGACCCCAAGTAGCTTAAAGACGCGGAGGATCTGTGTGCAGGTGGCTCCCTCCGGTTCTAGGTGGCACTCACGTTTGATCTATAAATATAAGACGAACTGAGAACGCATCGCGGCTCTAGCAGGGATCCCGAGGTAAATGTCACGCTGGAGGAAGCGAAAGTGCTTCCTGATTGTCAACAGAGCCTCAGAAAATTAGGGGCTTTCGAGATAGGTGTTTAGGAGTTTAACACTTTGAACGCTGCAAACTGTGCATTGAGACTAAGTTGTAGCTCCAGATGGAGTTTCAACAATGAGTTGTATTTCATTATTTGAAAAAAAAAGGTTAACATGGCAATTAGTAATACCGCAAAAAAATACTAATATTATTATTTGTATGATGATCGGTTGTATTTAAGAAAAATGACAATCATATCCATATTATTATTATTGCTTAAGAACTAAAGTCTTACCTGTTCTTTTTTTTTACTTCAAAGACAATGATAAATCAACTATATGTTCATGAAAATTCTCCTCACACTATTAGCCTAACTTGTGTATGTTGCCCCCACCCCCCCTCTTGCCCCCCCTGCACCAAAAACACCAAAACCACCCGCTAAACACTTGTATATGTATACAGTCAAGGATAGTTAACGCCTGCTCCATATGAGCCGGTCTACTGCAGATGAATGGTAGATGATCAGATTAGTTCTCGCCACTATCATCTCAAGGTTTCATAATTTTCGACGGCTGTTAGATAATTCCCAAGGTTTCCATATTACCCCCCCCCCTCGACCCCCACGCTCCCATCAAGTTTTCCATATTACCCCCCCCCCCGACCCCGAAGCTCCCATCAGTATCATATAATAATGACCCCTGTTGTTTTGTTGTTGTTTTTTTTTGTTGTTGTTTTTTTCGGAAGTTGGGTTGGGGTGAGGGGTAGGGAGAAGCAGATGTCTGACGCACGTCTTAGTTTTCTCTCTTTTACTCTCATCAAGTATAAATATCATTTGAGAAAGAAGCGACTTAAATGTTTTGAAATACAACACACCATTCCAATACTTTGGTTTTAAAAAAAAAAAGTGAATCTATTTCGTCCAATAGATCCTTTTGTTTTTTTTTTTTATTTTTAGCACCTGAGTTTATTCAACGTCTCAACGGAGAGGAGACGGTCCTGGAAGGGCAGTCACTCTGTATTGAATGCAAGGTGGCTGGGTTTCCAGCTCCTGCGTTGCGCTGGTTCAAGGTATTTAATATATACATATATATACACATATATATATTTTTTTAAAAATCATACTGGATGGGGATGAAGGTCATTGTAAATGTTTAAATGGGGATTCACTGTCTATTGAATTGCCATGTTACTGGATCGCTGCCTTTGTTATTATTTTTATTTTTTGAGTGTTAAAATTAAATATATATTCTAAACATATGTTGCTAAAGTATACTACATGATGTACCTGCTAAACAATTTTTTTTTCATCATGTTTCTTTCATGTTAATTTCTATATATTTATTTGAAGTTTTAACTTACAACAGTTTTTAACGTTGATGTGGGGTGGGGATGGGGGTGGGGGTGGGGTGGGGTTGGGGTGTTTATATAACTTAAATTGCGTTTAGTGTTGCCCGAGTTCTTTTAGTGTCTAATCAAAAAATAAAATTGGCAATTTTCGGTAAAGAAATTATGTAACATCTTTTAGATTCACTTTTATATTTAAAAAACGTCTCCCGTTAAGTAGCAGAAGGCCAAGGCCTCGTTAGGAAATAGCTTTTACAACAAACACATCCGCATTAATGCAATCAGTAAGTTGATCAAGCCATGTGAAAGTATGTACACACAACACAACACATCACCCTTATGCGTTTACACCGATCATTATTTGTGCCTTTTACAACAAACACACCCGCATTAATGCAATCAGTAAGTTGATCAAGCCATGTGAAAGTATGTACAAACAACACAACACATCACCCTTATGCGTTTACACCGATCATTATTTGTGCCTTTTACAACAAACACATGTACTTTTAAGGACGACGAGGAGATACTGGACCACCCACGCATTCATGTTGAAAGTAATGGGAAGGGCGCCTACTGTCTCATGATTGACAACGTCAACAAAGGGGACGAGGCCGCCTACAGATGCCGGGCTGAAAATGTGGAGGGGGCCTCCTCGTGCTGCTTCTTTCTCTCGGTCAAAGGTAAAGAGAAATCACATTCGCGGTCGTTAGTGTAACCCTACCGTAATCATTTCAAATAAACGTGTGTTTTTTTTTTTTTGTTTTTTTTTTTTAAATTTCCACTCCTTTTTAAACAATATTTTTTTTTTTTTTTTTTTTTTTTTGTGTGGGTGATGGTAGATATATCTAGAACAATTTGAGTTTAAATTAAATAAAACTTAATGAAAGGATTAGATGCTTAACGTGATAAAAAATCAAATTGTATCGAAATAATTAAATTACTTCAGGAAAACCAAAAAGCCCAAAGAAAAAAGACGGGAAGAGCCCCAACCGACGGACGGTGTCCTTCCCACCCATGTTCGCCACCATCGTCGAAAAAGTGGAAGAGGAGGAGAAGCAAGGGAAAGAACTCAAAGAGCTGCCGCCGTCTCCGATGACAGAGTTCTACTACGCGCTGACGCTCAAGAGTCGCCAGAGCTGGCCGACGTTTGTCGGGGACTGGGCGTTCGTCGACGGTGGACATCACGAGAAGAGGAGAAGTGAGTTGGGCATAGTTAGAGCTTTAGGTTATTTTTTGGTTTGTTTGGTAGCCTCTTTCTGTTTTCAAACAGTGCTTTTCAATTTTAATCATGTAATACGAAAGACATGCAAGGTATGCCTGTGTGTGCTTTACAAGAAATTTGAACCTAAAAAAAAATATATCTTTCTAAAGCTCATACTTTCATAAAAAATTCAAACGATTAGATGCCTAGCATATACAGACACAATAAACAATGCATAGGACATAACTCTGAAGAAAAGAATTTCTTAAAAAAAAAAAAAACTATTAAAAAAAGAAAGCTTTTAGACAGTTGTTGCTTTTCCCAATTTTTCAACTGTTGAACTTGTGTCCAGGCAAGTACCTATCCCGGAACAAATAATGTTTAAACGCTTACTTAGAAAGTAATTTAGTGGATGTTTTGTTCATCAAGATGAACACTGTATGCAAGTGTAAAGAAAAAAAAAATAAAGGCAACTAAGCGGGTTTCGAAAAGTGTGGGAGGGGCAGATTGGCGTTGACATTTTGTACACGATCAGCATCAGAACAAATTTTCGTTAACTGTTGAAAAGCATTGTTTTACACATTTTTCGTGTGTGCTTCCTTTCTCTGATGAGACTAGACATTTAGTTAGTTCTTATCAAGTCTAGCGATAGCGTTCATCCTAGTCAGTTTAAAATTTGCAGTTTAAATAGTAAACACCTGAAATAATATCATGGCTTGCTTGTTTGCACTAATCTCGCTGGTCCTGCTTTTATTATTATCCTCCAGGTTGCAATGCAAGATAGATTCATTTCCCTTAAATTAAATTTATTGCTGTGGTCATTCGCAGACAAAACATTTCGAAGGCGCAATTTTTAACATGCAACTCAATTCCATTAGTAAGGAGTGTACAGTGAAGATTCCGATAATGAAAACGTCCTGAGTTAATGATTTAAAAAATAGATATCATTTAACATATTAAAGATTGTAAGTTTAACCCTTTACGAGATTTATATACTGAAACATTATTATTTTACCAGATTATTGACATGTCAAAATTGACGGAGTTTTTCAGAAATGAAATTTATTATTTAGGTTTTTGGTAAGGAAAACTTATTATTTAGGTTTTTGGTAAGGAAAACTTATTATTTAGGTTTTTGGTAAGGAAAACTTATTATTTAGGTTTTTGGTAAGGAAAACTTATTATTTAGGTTTTTGGTAAGGAAAACTTATTATTTAGGTTTTTGGTAAGGAAAACTTATTATTTAGGTTTTTGGTAAGGAAAACTTATTATTTAGGTTTTTGGTAAGGAAAACTTATTATTTAGGTTTTTGGTAAGGAACACTTATTATTTAGGTTTTTGCTAAGGAACACTTATTATTTAGGTTTTTGGTAAGGAAAACTTATTATTTAGGTTTTTGCTAAGGAAAACTTATTATTTAGGTTTTTGCTAAGGAAAACTTATTATTTAGGTTTTTGCTAAGGAAAACTTATTATTTAGGTTGTTTTTGGTAAGGAAAACTTATTTCACTTTAAAAACAAAACCAAAACAAAACAAACCATTAAAAACAAACAAACAAACAAACAAACAAATCTTCATTTCTTCAAGCTTTATAAGAAAATTGTTTTAAGAATCTTTAAGGGGGACATATGCATATTGCTAAAATGCAGAGATTTAATCTTTAGTTTTTAAACAAAGGATGTAATTTCACTTCCAGGTGTAACTGCATATTCTTAAAATATGACTTTTTTTTTTCTAAAGGTTGTTACTCTATGCGTTAGCGACATTGTTACATATAAGATTATGTATTTTGACACTCTCAAACATAAGAAAAAAATATAATTCGTCTGTCAAGATTTGATAGCGTCCAATTCATTTATTTCAAAGCTTCTTTGTCTTTTGTTTGTGTGAATATTGTTCAACTTTTATATTTTTTAACATATATATATATTTTAAAAAAATAATTTCTGTGTGATTTATCTTCCAATTTTCATTTAAATTTGAAGAGGAATGTACTTAGTATTGGACCCCGATCTATCATTACTAGTCTATGCATGGGAGGCGAAAACGGAACCATCACATGTTTAGATTCACAGCCCTGAATACAACTCCGTATACGATGACATAAAACACATGCCTTCCTTAGGTAGCGCAGATTTAATGACTACTGTTTACAGCGTTGGAATTTTTTGGCTTAAAACGTCTTCACCGACACTTGACTTTTTGTTGAAATTTACACAACGCATTGTTTGACGGAATGCGGAAATGAGTACTGAGCTAAACGACACCCGCCAGAAAAACCAAAGCTTTTTTGTATCAGTCCTCTATAAAGTATCATCATTTTGAGCAAAGTAATAGGGTTGCAGTGAAAACTGGACAAAACATCCATACAAGTAGCGCAATTTATAAGAATACCAATTAGTGCTCCCACACCCCCCCCAACCCCACTCAGACTTGAAAACACACACATATTATTCCCGCCCCTGAGGTAAATTAATATTCTATTGACATCCCCCCCCCCCCACCAACCCGTTTTAAACAACATATTTATTCCACACCCCCCCCCACCCCACTCAGACTTGAAAACACACACATATTATTCCCGCCCCTGAGGTAAATTAATATTCTATTGACATCCCCCCCCCCCCACCAACCCGTTTTAAACAACATATTTATTGCACAAAACCATTTCAAAAACGAAAAAAGAAAACATTACGAACCAAAGAAACTTGCGATACTTAATTTTTTTTTTCATTTAAGAATCTCATTAAGTGCAGTTATTGGAGATTTTTTTTCCCCGTTAAATCAGTTTAGTCATATATCTTTCATCTTTCCCTTTAAAAGCAGGAACATTTATTTTTCAAGGGTTAAGGTTGGATAGTGGGGCTGAAATTTTGAAAGAATGTAATTGCCATTGGCAGCGAGACTATGTTTCAGCTCAATAGGTTGACGGGACGCGGGCCAGATGGCAGTCCGAAGATTTTTTTGACAGCCAGCCACGAAAAAAAAGTGAAGTTAATAGAAATGATTTAAAAATATGAGTTGCATTAGGACGTCAGTAAAAATTCCAAATTTCACAGTAAAAATGTGCCGTTAACGAAAAAAAAATATATTTGATAAACTCAGCGAATCTTGCAGATTAACGATTACGAAAGTGTTGGATCAAAAGCAATCTATAAAATTTCTTTAATTCATTCTTTATTGATAAAACCCAGGAATATAAGAAAAAAAAAATATTATAAAAAGCTGAAACTGTCTGGGTGACCCTTTCATTAACACAATATTGGCGCTTCACTAATCATTGCTGCGCAATTTAGAAGAGAAAGAAAAAAAGGTATGAAAAATTACAAATTCCACTCACTGGCCTTTGCGCTTCAATTGTCCAACTAAACAACTAACAGACGCAGACTGATAATCAAATTGAGATTTTCGTGAATTTCTACAGCGGACAGCGACGAAAGGGAGACAAAATCGGCACCGACAACCCCAGTATCGAACGGCAAACTTTCGGACAAAGGTGGCTTATTTTTAAACGCAAGGGAGGTCAACGGGAAAGGCGTCAATAGGGGGCAGTTGAAGGAGATGACGAAGGAGACGAAGAAAAGGTTGGACGAGGAGGCCGCCAGGAGAGAAAAAGAGAACGCGGCGAAAAGAGATCAGGAGAAGGTCGCCGCCGACAAGAAGAGAGAGGAGAATAAGAAGAAGGTTGAGGCCGAGGAAAAGATCGAGGAGGAGCAGAGAAAGAGGGAGGACGCCATGAAGCTTCGGAGGAAAACGAGGGAAGACAGGCGCGAAAGAGACAGAAAGGTCAAAGAGGAGGAAGAGAAGAAGGCGGCCGTCAAAGGTGACGTCACGAATAAAGTCAATGATGGAAAGAGCGAAACATTTGAAAATAAAGAGCGTTTAATGAGAGAAGAGGAGAACAAAAAGAAAGAGGCACTGGTGAAGGAAGAAGAGATGAAAAGGAAGGAAATGGAAGTGGAACAAACGAAAAAGAAGGACGCGCAAATGATTGAAGATGAAAAGAGAAAGAAAGAGGCTGGTGGTAAAGAAGACAAGAGGATTAAAAAGGAAGAGAAATTCAATGAAGACAAGAACAAAGACGTCGAACAACCCAAAAGACTTATAGCGACAAAAATAGCACATCAAATTAAGCCACTGGAAGAGGAGAGGCAACAGAAGTTAAAGAAAGAGAGTGATATAAAGCGACTGGAAGAGGAGAGGCAACAAAAGTTAAAGAAAGAGAGTGAAATGAAGCGTCTGGAAGAGGAGAGGCAACAAAAGTTAAAGAAAGAGAGTGATATGAAGCGACTGGAAGAGGAGAGGCAACAGAAGTTAAAGAAAGAGAGTGAAATGAAGCGTCTTGAAGAGGAGAGGCAACAAAAGTTAAAGAAAGAGAGTGATTTGAAGCGACTGGAAGAGGAGAGGCAACATAAGTTAAAGAAAGAGAGTGAAATGAAGCGTCTGGAAGAGGAGAGGCAACACAAGTTAAAGAAAGAGAGTGATATGAAGCGACTGGAAGAGGAGAGGCAACATAAGTTAAAGAAAGAGAGTGATATGAAGCGTCTGGAAGAAGAGAGGCAACAGAAGTTAAAGAAAGAGACTAACGACAGCAGAGCTGGAAGGGACTCTCAAGAAACCAGGAAACCGACCCCATCACCAGCCCCACCAAACACTGAGCAAGCGACTTCCAAAAGGGTCCCAGCAGCCCTGCAGGTGTTCAAGGACAAAGAATCTTATCCCACAAACACACGAGAAAAATCACCATTCAAAACACAAGACACTAAAGAGGTTCCGAATATCCCCATTTCATTGGTCAGTCATAAACTGGAACAACAAAATCAAGAAAAGCAACAGGCCAGGACAAATTATAAGGCTACAGACATTCCGAAAGATACAGAGCGAGCCACCGAAAAAGTCTCCGTGGGCGCGCCTCATGAGCAGAAAGACCAGCCAAAAGACATTAGGACGCAGCCGTTAGACGCCACGAGGCAGAGAGAAAAAGAACAGATTGACAGCATGAAGCAAAGAGAACAAACCCAGATTGAGAAACTGAGAGAGAGGGAGCGTCAGCAGATCGGGGCACTGAGGCAAAGAGAGCAAAATCAAATAGACGCCCTGCGACAAAGAGAAAAGGAGCAGATTGAGGCGCTGAGAAAGAGACAGCAGGAGCAGAGAGACGCGACGGATCAAAGAGAGAAGAAGCAGAGTAGTGGGATAAAAGAGATGGTGGAAAGGCCGAACAAAGGAGAAAAAAGACCTCAAACAAATCCCCCTGATGTCAAACAAAGTGAAAGGGATGCAGTAAAAGTTACTAAGGAGAGAGAAGATTTGAAGCTCAGAGAGCAACAGCAGATAGATGAATTAAGGGCAAAAGAACAAGGCCAGAGAGATGCTTTGCGACTCAAAGAGAGAAAACAGATACACGATCTTCATCGCCACGAAGAGCAGCAGAAAGAAGAGTTTAGGCTCAAAGAAATCAAATTAAAAGAAGATTTGAGATCGAAGCAGCCCCACAAACAAGTGGAGGAAGAAGCGAGAAAGAAAGAGGAGGAAAGGAAAAAAACAGAACAGAGAGCCAGAGAAGAGAAAGAGGAGAAACAGATGGAAGTGAGGAAAGAACAGATCAGGAAAGAGCAGCTGAGGAGGCAATATGAGGAAGACACGAGAAAGCGACAAGCGAAGTTGAAAGCTGAGGATGAGATGAGGCGAAACGAAAGGGACAAAGCCGAGCGGTCTTGTGAGAACGGCGAGCAGGAAGGGAAAAATGATGATGAATCTCAGATCAAAGTTCATAAAAGAGACTACTCGTTCTCTGAGCTTCGCCAAAGCTTAGAGTCCCATTTGGGTGGGGAGGTAATGGACGAAGAAGAGCACAAATATTGGAACAACATCATGGAAAAACACGCGTACTCGATCAATGACATTAAAAAGGCGTTTGATTCAATCTCCAGTGAAGAAAGACCATCGCGACAGAGAGCTCGGAGAAACAGCATAGAGGAGACCGAGCTGCTGAACATGAAGCGGTCGTCTTCTATAAATGACTTGAGGGAATCGTACACTAAATCCCTCGGCCGGCCGAAGAAAATCATGTCGGAACTTCAGAAGCGACAGAAAGACGAGGAGTTCTTGAAGCGGGCTTCGTCCATTAGCGACCTACGACACCAGTTTCTGGCGGTCGTTCAAAAGCAGGCGACGTCGTCCAGATTGTTGAACGTGCCCGGGAAACAAGAAGCGGAAATCACCATTAGGCACATGAAGCTGTCCGATACAGTCCGGCCGTCCGAAATCAGACAGCGGTCGAAATCGCCGACTCCATCTCCTTTGTACGCCGCGGTGTCTCAGTCCACAGCGCAAAACTCGTCGGACAACAAACCCGCGTCCCGGACCCAGGCCGAGCTCAACAAACTAGCAGGGGCCGTGGCGGCCAAACGTGCTTCTTTTCACGAAATGCTAGCACAGAAGGGCGAAGGCGTCGCTCCCGAGAAATCACAAAAGCGAATGTCGTACCAAGGCCGTGACGCCTACGGGAGCCGGGAAATTTCCGTGTACAAACGAGCCGCGGGCTGGTCGGACGACATCGAGAGTTCTCCGGAAGTGAACGATTCTCAGCTCAACTCTGACACGTGCTCACAGGCTAGCAATGCGTCATCATCATCATTCTCATCCAGCGCACATCTCCACGACACCATCAACTCATCCTACACCACTAAGGTTCGCCCCTTTGTCTACAACTCAGTCCGAACTACAGCTAGAAGTAAGTACCATGGTTCTTCTATTTGAAATTTATGAAAGGAAAAAAATATATATCCCATTTCATGTGTTTGTTTTTATATCTACATAAAGAGTCTTCTATTTTAATTATAAGGCTTGATTCGATAGACCTCATTGAAACATTCATGTATTTAATTTCCATCCGTTGCTAAACATTCACTCAAGAAGGAAAAATACATATTAATTATGTGCTGATTTTTTTTGTTCCATAGGGCTTACAAAGAAGGAATAACTTTTTCATCGAACGTGAAACTCACCCCATCACTGAAATCACCAAGACGCCGCCTCTGAAAATCTAAGAAATTATTTTCTAAAAATGAAAACGTTAGAAATCTCAAGATAAAAAAATTAATTTACTTTCTATATGTTGAACTTCTTTGAAATCTGAAACATAACAAAACCGAAAGTCTGCTGAAAGACTGAGAGAGATGCGAGCTGATCGTCCCTCCAGAGCTTGCCGTGACCTGTGACCTGAGAGCTTTCCGTGACCTGTGACCCCAGAAGGTGATACACGAGAAACACAAAGGATTAGTGAGGAAATTAAAAAAATGAAAAAAAAAAACAAAAACAAAAACAATTGTCAAAATAATCCAAACTAACGTATATATGTGTAGAGCTTGCCGTAACCTGTGACCTGAGAGCTTTCCGTGACCTGTGACACCAGAAGGTGATACACGAAAAACAAAAAGGATTAGTGAGGAAATTAAAAAAATGAAAAAAAAAAACAAAAACAAAAACAATTGTCAAAATAATCCAAACTAACGTATATATGTGTGTATCGATGTGTCCGTTTGGCTTAACAAAACAAGGCTACTTCACATAGTGTAACAGTGTTTCACGTATGTAATCGGCATGACTCACTCTTACCTTAGTTCACATTTTAAAAAAAAATACAAACTGCGTACATATCTACTATCAGTATGAAACGAATCTCGTAGGCAAACGCCAGAGTAACCTTCATGCGGGCGCTTGCTAAACTACAAATACAGTAACGTTTAGAAAAAAAAAGAAGAAAAAAATATATATATATATATATATATTAGAATGTACCATTAACATTTATAATAATGTTTTGAAAAAGTTATTGAATATGAATTTTTAAAATAAAATTGATATAAGATGCGGAATCAAGGGTTAAGTCATTGGTTTTAGACTGCACAGTCGTTTGGAGAACGTATGAAAGTAGGACTATGCTATTGAAATATAATAATATGGAAAGATTACGACAAAATGCATCTTCCTTGTTATTTTCCGGTGACCACTTTCGTCTTTAAATTCGTGGTTTCGCCACTTTTTTATCATTGCATGAATTCGTGGTTTCATTGGTGTACACATATAAAAACTTCTTATCCACTTAACTTTTACCTCTTGCATTAATAAAATTCCTTTGAGTAAATAACTAAATGGCTTCTGTTTTATTTTACGAGCTTGCTGGCACCAGACCTCATGCATCTGAAAGCTATTTACCAAAAAAGAAATCTTTTGGCACAAATCCAAAATCATAGAGGCCCCATTGTTTAGAGAATCAAGAGTAAAAAAAAAATAATAATTTCCTGTTTAACATTTTCTGTATGAAAAATTGTGACTTCAATGTTTTTTAAAGTGAATTATCATTTTAAAGTCTATAATTAAAAATATATATATATATATATAATGTACACACATTTACCTTTCATTGATCGTTTTATTCATTGAGTAAAGTAACTTCAAATATATCATTTACCGCAACGTACACAACAAACGAACAACTGCGAAAATCAGACTCAATGATGAGTATCACAAGTAAATGGCCCTAGCGAAATAACTATGCGTCCTTGCTTTTAATTCCTATAAAATTATCGACAAAATCCGTTCATGTATTCTGACGAAGTCCGTTCTTGGATTGTGACAAGATCCATTTGTGGATCGCTTGCATGGCAATTACCATTTAGGTGTTCTTTGTAAATCAAGCTGTTAAATTATTAACAAACTGATGAATATTGTGTTCAATAATTTAAAAAAGAAAAATGTTAAAAAATTTGTTGATATAATCCGCGCATGCCCAACTAGTGCATGACTACTGTCTACTACTTTCGATCTAATAATATTATTAATTTTGCTTTAATATTTGTTGTTGTTTTTTTTTTAAAATAAAAGTAAACTAATTACCGACTGCATGCAAACAAAGAAAAGACATACTTGCTCTTTCTATTATTTACTTAATGCAATTAATTTAATAAATAATAAAACATTAAACTCGTTTTCTTTTTTCCACAGATATCAATCATATAATTAGCACTCAAATTGTGTATATATAATTTGAAAAGAAAATAAATATTTTCTGTGATATGTTATTAAAATTTATTTTTCGTTTGAGGATTTTATTTTCTAGCACCCATGAGAGCAATTCATATTAAAGTTAATAATGTGGAGCACATACGTTACAAGATTTCTAAATTTGAATACGATACTTAAGACACGTTTTAAAAGTCTAAATAATCTTAAAACTTCAAGCCACAGATTTCGCTTCACATAAATTACGTAACTAATAAAATGTAGAGAATTTAAAAGTATTAAATCACATGAAAAGTATGTATTATTTCATCTTTTCTCAGACTCCACAGGAAGCATCGCAAGCGATTCCTACAACTACTCCTCAGAAGAAGATGTCTTCACCGAAGACTCCAGTGACTCGGATGCCGAAAGCCATGATTCCAAGGAGAAGCCACACTTCTATTTCGATGACGAAGGTGACGGAGATGGCGGCACAAAGAACGGCCCCACGGCCGATTTCATAATTTACAACCGCAACGCGATAGCCGAGGCCGCTTTTGAGGAAGGTGGTTTGGCGGCGTTCGTGGATAATAGTGCGAACAACAACGTTGTCGTGTCTGGCGCGGGAATACCCGAAGACAAATCCCCTGGAAGCAAGTGCGAAAGTGGTAAATCTAACTTGAATGTTGTTTTGAATTTACAGAACAATGTTGCACATATAAAACCCACTTTGGACAATTTGAATAGTCCAGCACAAGCTTTGGGAACGTTAGGCGTGTCACAGCAACATACCACGACGGGCGTCTTGTCGCCACAGCAAGTTTTGCAACAACGAAAGGAAACGTTAAAACTGCATGATGGTTCGAAACTGAGCTCAGAAGAGGACATATCACTAATCATTTCAAACCAAGGAAGTGTGACACGGCGTTCTGATAGCTTGATGTCCACTGAAATACTTTCAAGAGGGGACAGAACACCACCGATTATCGTGGAGATGTGGGACGAAGTAGAAGAGCCGCGTTCTCCGACGCTGAAGAGTTCTGAGAGCATGCGCGTGCCCTCCACTTCCAGGAATGCCAGCTCTCTTTTTGTTTCAGGCTACGCGAGGGAGGAGCGCGAGCCGACTCCATTTTTTAAGGAAAATGACCAAAGCTCTCAGAGTTTCGCCCCGTTCTTACTCGGTGTTCCCATGAAGACGTCAGGTCACTCTGATAAGGTGATATTTGAACGCGAATGCACGCCGTTCTTCGATGAAAGATCGAAAGAGCTAAACACCAGACGAGACGGGTTCTTGCCTGCTCAAGACTCCAATCAGGCGATGGAGGGTCACACGGAATTCCACAGGGAGCTTACTCCCTTCTACGATAAGAAAGCAGTTATCCAAACCACAATTTCGTGTGGGAAGTTTTTGGATATCAATTCAGCGTTAAATAATTCGAAAGAGGGTAAAGACGCATTACAAAAAAGTAAAGATACCAGCAACAGGAAAGGTTATTTTAATGTAGTTCCGTTATTGACTGCCCCTAGCAGCTCACCTGGTACGGCGTTATTGGAAACTGGAGGTGTCTTAACAACAATGCCTGATACGTCTACCAAAACGCGCGCAAATCAATCTGATCAGAACCAAGTAAAAGCAGGGATAACAGAAGGAAGCAAAAGTCTTTCTGGAAAGGGGTCGTCTTTGAAATCCAATTCCAAATCATTATTACCCGGTAAAGATGCAGCTAAAATTTTGAATAGCCCAAAAGAATTGGGCGCCAGTGGTTTGACAGCATCAAGAGTAACGCCTGTGGATGTGACATTGGATCAACACCGGGGTCCAGAATCAGGAAGCAGGCGAGAAACCAGCGCGCCTTCTGGGAACAGATCAGAACGTCGAAGTAGGTCGGAGACCAGGCAGGACCGTCGTCAAACCGTGATTCAAGAAGTCACGGTAGTGGCCCCTAAGCCCAGGGCACTGAGTGTCCCACGTGATACTTCGCCAACCATAGCCAAGATAAGCCAAGACCCGGCTGGGGGGACATTCTCAAGTAGATCGTTAGACAGATCTAAGGCTGGCGGCCATACTGGACGGTCCGCACAACCTAAACAAGAAAAGTCTAAATCAAAGTCAGCGACTGGATCGAGTCAAACGAAGACTACAAAAGTACCCAAGAAATGTGAGCCTATCACTTTAAGCCAAAGTGAAAAGCGAGGAGACGCTGCGGTTGAACGCCAGTCAGTTGAAAGGATGGAGGCAAATGGTTCAATCTTATGTACACCGACACTCCTAAAAATACCCGCGTCTACAAAACGAAATAAAAAGTCATCAGACACCACAGACGAAAATGGGAAGGGTAAATCTAAAATAAACGAAAAGAAAATCCCAGTTCAGGTGTCACAAAATACCACGCTGATAGAAAATGCGACGCTTTCAGAAAAAACCGGCAGCAAGCCAAAAACAACACTTTCTAGCAGGCTCAAGAAAACAATGAAAGGGTTATTGCCCCATAATCCAAATGACAAAACGTCAGTATCGGACAATAACCTTGAACCTTGTTTCATTGAGCCACCAACGTGGCGCGTCACCAAGGAAGAATCGCAGGCTGCGGTTGGACAAATTAAACCGCCACCTAAAACCAAGTCAAAAACGAGCTCACCCGACGAGAGTTTATCATCCCCAGGAGAAAAAGGTCCTCAATTCTCATACGAAATTATCGCTTCTAGCGCGTCAACAGCCAGCGTCGCAATAAGAGCCCCATCTCTTCTCTTCACAC